GTGATTGTGTGACATTGTAGTGCTAAGTGATAGGTGGAGAGGATCATGAGTTACTTGACAAAGAAATCTGTTTAATATAGAAAAAGAATACTATGTGGTGTGACCTCAGCAAAGCTATTTTTCTTCATAACTGTAACTTTAAAAATAATGCTACCTTAATGAAGATAAATGCAAATGTTAAAGTAAGACTCCATGTTTTTTTAGCTGTATTTTAAACATAGGCAGTGAAAAACTTGCAGCTTTGCAAAATAAGTTGTTCGATAAGAGGTGGGACAGCCAGTATGTCTTCCTATAAACTCTGAAGCTGGATTATTAAAATTTTTACTTCTTGTAATCTCAACTATTTTACCTGTTGTAACTTAAGCAACAGCCACCTGTTTGCAGTCAGTTTATCTTCTTTTGACTGTAATTCCACTGGTTTTTCTTTTCACCTAATTACAGATGCTTGGTGAGTGTTGATGAAATTGAAGTTTTTTTTCAATGATAACTACAAAATTAAATCATTGTTGTGGTGTGCTCTGTGCTTGCTCATTCTGTGGCCAAGTAGAGCCTGTACTGAATTCCTGGAACTGGAATACTAGGAGGGCTTGCAGGCACCTCAGATCCTATTTTGAACCCAGGACACAACTCCATCCATTTCAAGTGATGCTCTGGTTTATTATTCCATGACTGTTTTGGAAAGAAGAACAACAGACAAGTGTGCTACTGTCTTATTTATTATTCAAGATCTGCCTGGTGTTGTCTGGCTCAGTATTTTTGTGATGTACCTATAAGAATTGGGTAAAAGGCTGCTATTTCTGGAGAGACATGGCTGATTTCAGCAGTTGTGAATTTGCTCTTTAAGGTTAATATTTTGCTAACAAAACCCATTACTTTGTGGATATATTCTTGGTGTTTACAAGGTCTTCACTCGCAGCTCTGAATTTGCTGGATTGAAATATGGGATATGCACATTAATTCATGTAGGGGCAGAGGTATTAAAAAAGCTACCTTTTTTTTTTCATTTTCACTAAAATCCCCACAAATCAACCAAAATAAAACTGTGCTTTCCATGGCAGAGAGGAAAGCCATTGTACGAAGGCTGACAGCAGCAGTGCCTCTGTTTTTTGTTAATGACCTTTAAGCCTTGCAGCACCTCTCCTAGGTTAAACATGTTGCCTCCTTTTTTGCCTTCTGGTGAGCATATTYCATGTATTTTAAACTTGTGTGTATAAAAGTGAATTTTATTTGCCACCACTTGACATTCAGTGTTATTTTAGTGCAGTTCCCTGAAGTGTTATATGTTGCAAACTGAGCCCAGGAGTTTGTTTGCTCTTCGGATCAGTAAAGAAATCAAACAAACAAACAAAAAGTATCTTTCTGCCTCAGATCTACTCCAGGACKTTATTGCCATGAATAGAATCAGCCTGTGACCTGTGGGATGTGTCTTTAATTGTCTCCTGGATTAGCATTTGAGCATAAGATTTCTTGATTTACAGAGAAAAAAGTATATGTGAACTGTGCTGCTTGTGGAATAATATAAAAAATTATGGGCTTGCTGCGTTATTCAAGGTACAAAATTTTATTACAGTGCCAAGCAACACATGGGACAACTGATTTATTGTTAGTGTCATATTTTGCATAATGATTTTTTTCCACAGATGATTTTACTGCATGTGTTTTAAAAAGTACAATGCAATTCTTCAGGAAATTCTGGTCTAAGCTTATTTTTAAGTAAAGCAGAATTTTATACAGAGGAAAACTAATTTTTTTTTGTTTTATGGTATACAAGCCATTGCTTAACAAATGATTGAAATGGTCTCATCCTGTGATCTGACACTCTGCTTTTAGTATTTTATTTGGCATAGAAGCTAGAAAGCAAAAACAGAGATACTCCTTAAAAAAAGCAATGCCATTCCTCCCTGTTAGCAGCATTTTTATTATATAATAGATGTTATTTATACATAACTGTGTACAGATAGTGACTGATAAACATAAAACCAGCAGCAATGAGCTGGTCATGGCTGAGCATGAGGGATTGGATTCATTGTAATACCCAGTGCCCATGACTGCTCTAAGGCCAGACCRGTGTCCGAGGTTGGCTCAGAGTCTCCCTGAAGTTAAAAAACAGGCAGCTACCTTAGATATTGAAAACCAAGTGTTAAACACTTCAAGTCTAAGAGAAGGAGCTACCAGTAGTCTAGTTTGGCAATAAAACTGGACACTGAATCACTTGAATGGAAAAACAAAGTATTCTCATTTCAGTGTGCTGGATTCTCATCTGCACTGGTTGTGATTGCAGCCTTCCAGGTTCCTTTGCTGTTTAATTCTTCATTTAGCCATAAATTCCCTCTTGCTGCTTGCTGGGGACTCCAGCCTGTGGAGGACAATGACAAACCACAGATTTTAATATTTACTTCCCAAAACATGGAATATTTAAGCTATCCAATGAAGCAGTTTCCTTTTTGTTGCAATGTTGAAACTGACTTAATTTCTCACTTATATTTAAAAAAAAAATTACAAAAGCTGAGGCTTAAATATTTGTGGTTTTGATCCACAAATGATAAATTAGAAACGTGGAGCAGTCGATTTGTGCTTGTCTCTGCTGTTTCATTACCCATTTCAGTGTTATCATACTGTGGATGAAATACTTCTTCACAATACTGAATGTCCCTATCTTTCCTCCAAGGCCCTAATGAAGATAAATTGTTCAGTTAGCAATTGTTTYCTTTCCAAGAATTCTTCTTAATTTTGCCCTTTGTGGATGGTTCCTGTTACATTAGATAYCTTTTTCCTTTAAGTGCAGTGATCCAAAATAGAGCAAATGAGAGCTACAGGATGTGGGAAAGTGCTGCACAAATTAATTTAYAGCCTGCCTAAAGGCACCTTTCCATAAGCTGGGTTACCTGGGACATAGAGCTGGCCTGCAGTCTGCTGTTGGGTGTCTGAATCATTCAGTCTGCAATCCCTTTGTCTGTCACTACGAACAAAAGTAGAACATCACAGCTAGAAGAGCTTTTCACCCATAATTTTTGCTCAAAGGAATTCTAGAGTCAAGAGTGATTGATAGCAAGTACAAGATGCTCAAATATTTGAAAATGTCTTGAAAAGTCAACCTCACCAGACCCTCTTTGAGCTTAGGGTGTATAAGTGGGACTGCATTTCTTCCAGATGGGAAAATAAAACAGCTGACACATGACTGAGTTTAGATTCTCATTTGTACAATATTTTTAGAGTGGAAGCAGAAGTTCTGAGTGAGATGTCTGTGTGGTATCTATATGACAGTGAATTTCGTGACTCATTACATATTCTGTGGAAAAGCACTTCTTGTTTTCTGCTCCTTCTAAGTCTCCCCCCAGTAATTTCTATGGATTTTCATGAGTTCTTGAATTATGAGAAGTAGTAAATAATAACTCCTTGCCCACCTTCTCTGTACTACTCATGATTTATAGACAACTGTCAAATTCYCATTTTTGCCCTGGCTGAAAAGTAATTTCTGTTTACTCTTAGCTCATGCAAACCTGTGCCATTAAAGTGCTGTATAAGCAGTTGTGATCATTAAGAAAAGCAAATTTATCAGACACCTGAGCACAAAGAAGCACTGAGAATTTGTGGCTGTAGCTGACATGATTGGAAGGTATCTTCAGGYTGGAAATCAAGGCCTTAGTGTGGAGATGTGGAGATATCTGTAAGGATCTCAAAAAGGGATTAATCTCTGACCTGAAGAACAGCATCAAGTCATGTGAGAGCCATTCTGCAAATCTCTGCTCCGTTAAAATGCTAAAAAATATTTACTGTCTGTGCTGAATATAAGCAACCAGGCTTTGTGAAATGACCACCCAAAAAACCCTACAGTACAATAACTTCAAAGATACCTAGTTTTACCCTCCAAGTATCAAGGACAGTGTTGTCCTCATTTCATTCTGGAACACTTTTTTGGGAGTTTAAGGGTTTGAATCCAAAACCCAAACTTGGGCACAAGCAATGGACTGTCTATTCCTGTACCTCAGGAACTGAGAATCACTTGAAGGGGAATGATTTTAGGAGCAAAGCTATTCATACACAAGTCTCAAATTATCTTCAATAGCATGCTCAGCCAAATCTTAYAAGGAATACAAGTACACATTAATTAAGAATTAACATAATTCTGTTCCTTGAGTATGATGATTATTAAAACATAAACTCTGTGAACACACACTTGAGAGAAAGCTGCTAAATATTTTTAAAAGCCTAATTTTCAGTCACCCTTTATTTATTCCTTCATTAAGAGAGAAAAAAGAAGATGACACTTGACTTTCTGAAACTTTCCATTTGCTTCTCAGATCAAAAAGTTGCTGAGTGTTGTTAACTGCTGATAGGAYAAATCAAGAATGATTTAGATTTATATAGAAAGCAAAGACATGGGGTGGCATTTTGAAATGTGCCTGAAAGCCACATTTGTGAAGCTGTTCAGACAACTAAAGGACTGAGGAAATATGTGAAGAGATTTTCAGGCATTTGAGCTAGCCAATAATGCAGTTTTCACAGTTGAATTTTAAGAAATGTACATTCTTAGGCATTGAAATGCWTTAAGAAATCTGACTGTTGTGGTATCACAAAAGAGGTTTTCAAAAATACTTCTGCTGTGGAAGACCCATGTGCCACTTCCAACAGTGCTTGGAAAATAGGATTTAACCTTTGCATTGCCACACCAAGTAGTGTTACACCTGAATACTCTTAGAAGTGTTGATGAACATTCTTTAGTAGTGACCCGAGCTCTCAAACCACCTCACAAATAACCACACTGGAAATATCAGTCTGCAGGAGGCTTTGCAGGCCTGAAAGCATCATTCCCCAGTCTTGCTGGTGTGGAAATGGGAAACTGCACAGCACAATAGGGATTGGTTTCTGTCCAGATACATCTCACAGGATTAAGAGGGCAAAGTTTGCTATTGATTTTCAGCTTCCCCTTCAGTTTGTGTTTCACTTTGCCCTTCATGCCTGTTCCTCAGCTGATTTTCTGTGTTCCTTGTGTTTTACAGAATGCCAAAGCCAGCTATGACTTCAGCAGTAATGATCCCTACCCCTAYCCCCGCTATACAGATGACTGGTTTAACAGGTAAATGGATTTTGRGCAGTCTACCCTTCACTCTGATTTGTGTGAGAAATTCTGCATTTTTGTGAAATGTCTGTTTTCCAAGGTCAGTGGTCACAGAACAGAAACTGCAGTCTCACTACTGCTTGAAAATTAGAGGGTACCTATGACTTCATTATTTTAGGTTTATTTTTTATAAATTGAGTTGCTGCTCCAGCAARGTATATTTTTAGATTGTTTGAACAGATGATGGCTACATATCTTTTTTTTTTTTTGTCAGCTGTTCTAGGACAGTCCAGTGATCCAAACCTGTATAAACTGATTTCTGATCTTCTAGCTAATTTTAAAGCAGGAGAGAGGAAAGTCTTAGGGGGAAAAAGTCTTTTCCTCCTGTTGTAGCCTAAGAAGGAAGAAAAACAGCATGGTGTAGAATAACCATAAGATCTAATAACAATTAGATCTTATGTTAAGTTCTGAATCACCTTGATATAARGACAATGTACATGGGGTAGCATTTTTCTATCTGTTGGAGTAGTTAAAGTTCACATACAGTGGAAGCTGTTCTGTTTATAAATTTGGAATCAGCAGTGCAGCTGTGCCCATTGTATTATTTCTCCTGAATACATTGCCCAATACCTGTTCCTTCTTCAGTGTGTTCTGAATTTAACTCTGAACTTAGCCAGTTATCAGCAGAATGACTGGTTCTCAAGGTATGCTAAAAATAAGGATGGCCCAAAATAAAAGGCTTAAGATTTTTAGAAGTGGGAGTTTTAGTTTCCCTAAACACATTGACTTTTTTTTTTTTTTTACATAGAATAGAAATGTGTTTCAACAGTTTTTTTAAAAAAAACATGTCCTGGATTCTGCATCTGTCCCATGGCAGGTGTGCTTGGATTTGCAGAAGTTATTTCAGGATACTTTCAATGAAATTTCCAAATGTCCTTTAGACAGATGTTGCCAGTAGTGCTGAGGATTTGAAAAATTTTAAAGATTTCAGGGCTCAGACTGAGTGCTTATCAAAAAACGTTTCACGCCTCTTTGATGTGGTTCTCATCTCTAACTTAGCATGACTGGATGGTCTCAAAATTTTGGATGAGGCTTTTTCTTTTTATTTTTAAAGAAATCTATTGTAGTTCTGTCAGAGTGGCACAACAAAGAAGGAGCTGTGCTCCCACCACAGGCATGGGCCTCCTGGTATGGATTAAAGAGTCTTAGGAGCTGTGATGTCCTTCTTTTTACCCAAAGCAAGATTTCAGTGAGATTTCTCCTTCATTTTTGGAAAAGGACATCTGACACTTTTAAAGTAGTRTGAATCCATTTAGTGAATGGAAAGTCAGAGAAAGATTTGTGAAGGTCTACTTCCTTTCTTGTTTATTTATGAAAACAATATTTTCAGGAGAAAGATATCACTTAGCTCTGGAGAGGAAGAAAATTAAATTTAGCTTTAGTGTGTAATGATAGCTTTTGTTGTTTTCAGTGTGGAACTTCATAAAATGAAGTATGTTCTGCCAAACCCCATCAACACTAATTGTGCTGCTATTGAGTATTTTATAGTGGGGCTCAGTTTGCTGTCCTCACCTGTTGGGCAGAGTGGCCCTGGAGGSAGAGTTACCTCCCAAAGTCTTTGAAGCAGACCTCAAGCACTCAAGTGAAGAATTGAGGGTGACAAGCACTATTGTCTGTGACCTGATCTGTAATAATGTAGAACAAGAAGATTCAGGTTTTCAGAGAATTGCAACRCTTTATTCTGTTTCTTGAGGGAATCGGGAGTTCAGGTCAGCAACAGGAGGAAAAAAATGGATTTTGTTGCTTGGCAGATTTCCTTCACTGTTCTTTCTTTTCAGAAAAAAATTAAATGATACTGGGAAGTATAACATTGTTTGTCAATGAACCCTAGTTATGATGGGATGCCCCARCCTGGAATTGTTCAGGGCCAGGCTGGATGGGGCYSTCAGCAGCCTGATCTAGTGGGTGGTATCCCTGCTCATCACAGGGAGATTGGAGCTMAATGACCTTTAAGGTCCCTTCCAACTCGAACCRTGACATTATGAACCTTGAGATTTCTTCCATGACACAGGAATTTCCTGTCTTGCAAGGTAAATTATGGGAGCAGCACATTCAGTGGAACATCCCTTTCCTACCTTCACAATATAAGAATGTTTTAAGATTAAATATTCTTAGTTTTCCCCAGGTTAAGATGCAAACCAGCACACCATATCCAGCCTTCTGGGAGTAGCTGTGACTGTGTATTTCTGCATATCTTTGCTATTTGTTGATTGAGTTGAGGTTCTCCTATATAAGCTCTTGCCATGGCTTCTGACTCCTGAATTATTGTTACTGACAGGTTACAACTGTCTGCCTCTGATAGTGTGCATCTGGATAGGTAATGATTACATGGAAAATTTTTTGAGAGAAGGTTGATGTGAAGACTCCATTTTGCACTATTTGCAGTCAGTGATATATCTCCCATTGAATTTTAAGCGTGCAGAAGGATTAGACTCAAAAAAGGATAGTGTAATATCCCTTTTTCCATAAAGAATACATTTCTATATGAGCAATTCAAGTTCTTTGTGGAGCAAGAAGCAGAGGACTGATAAGCAAGGGGCTTTTGTGAGCTGCCAGCTGCATGTGTCATTAGTCTTTAAGAATAAATAGGAGAGGTTTTTGCATGGAGTATTTCATTAATGACATCTGCTCTGCTTTTAAGCACAGATTCCTCTTCCATTTGGTGCTTTTTAAGGCTGATGGAATCACTTTGGCCTTTCCATCTAACAGCCACTGGACTACAAAACCAAACAGGGTGGGTTTTGGAAGGGGARAGGGGTGCCTCAGGCAGGAAATTGCTTTCAGGCAGTTCAGCTGCTGCTGTGGGCACAGACCCATAGATGGCTTGGTGGCCAAATGTTTGATTCCCGTGTTTATTGTACTCATTGCTTGAGTTTGTTCAGATCCACAGCCTGAGGACCCAGCGGGTGAGGGTACACTCGGTGCAACGTGGAACAGAGCTGTGTTTGAGCCTCARGAGCAGTGGGAGCAGAGAAGGAACCTTATCAATCCTGTTCACAAAAACAGAGGCAGTCCCACAGAACCCAGCGGGTTTTAAGAACCACTTTGTGATTTTTAAACACCCTCTCCTCCAGACCCACATTCAGTACCTTGGCATTTACCATGTTGTGCAGTGAGGAGGTAGCCATAGGAATCAGTGATTGCTTGGCCTTATACAACCCTCTGATTTAATTTTGTGAGCATGCAGAAGGCACAGCTTGGGCTCTCCCCTTGGAGCACTCAGATTACAAATGTCTGCGCTGATCTAAATAACCAATAATTAATTTCACTCCCATGACATTTGTATTCTGTATATTCTCTCACTCAGCTAATGATCTAGCAGGGCAAAATTTATTTGCTATCTTGGAAACCTGTATTCATCAGACGTAAGAATGTCTTTTATCAATTATGGATCCAAACCAAAGCAGGGGAATGCTTTCATTTCTCAAATGTTCAGAAGCTGACAATGTCATGTAAATAAAAAGGGGATTGCATTTGCCCCACAAAAGTGTCCATCTGAGTTTTATATGTTTATTTTTTGCCCAATGCAAGCAGTTAAAGTGGTTAAGATGTGCATATGGTCCCAGTTATTGAGATTGCAGCTCTGCTTAGCCCTCCCCTGCAGACAGCTGAAGATAGGATGGATGGGTCCTGTTCTTTGTTGTTTGTAGAAGCATTTCAAAGCAGATGAAAAGGACCCTCAGTAAAAATCTGTGCCACCTCTGACACTTTCAAAACATATATCGCATAGAGGGGCAATGTTACATACAGTAACATTGGTAGTAGATTTTAGAAACAGAATTGTTTTCAAAGACAAAGCAGAGAAATTTTCATAGCTAGTATAGATTTTTTTTTTAATGCAGTGTGCAAAACATTTGTTCAACTGAATCCACTTCTTCCACTTTACTTTTTCATGAATGGTCATGTAAAATGTTTTCACTTACATAAAGTTTATGAAAGCTTGCTCTACTTGCTAATATATGGTTTACCTTTGAAGTAGCTTGTTCACAGATGTAAATATTTTTTAATTTTGTTCTGTCCCCTTTGTTTTAAATACTGAAACAGGGAAGAGGTGAACACTGTAGAGAAAGGCTGTGATTTGTGCCTGTGACATGAATCACTTTACAGAAACCAGAAGGGTTTATCAATGATACATGAACAGCARATAGGGCTGAGTTGGAAAAGTCTGCTATTTGCCATTAATAATTCAACCAAATGCATTTCCACTAATCCATAAGTGATTTTTTCCCCCTCTCTAGCACAATATTGAAACTCTGAGCTGCTGGAAAAAGCCTGTTTGCTGTCTCTGTTGTGTGGGCCACTGCCCTGGGGAGGCCAAGACAGGAGAGGACCTTCTGGTAAAACTTTTTTGTCAGGAAGGTCCTAATACAGTTTTTTCACTGTAATCTGGCAGTTTCACTTATTTTTTGCATCCCAGTATTTGTCAAGCTAGTTTTGAGCAAAGCCATTTGCTTTTCTCTATGGCTTATAATTTGCCCATAGGTGAGTAGCATTGACAGCACCTACTTGTGTTTCTGCCAYRYTTCCTTGWACAAGAACATGAGGGAAAATCTGCYTGATTGKTGATAGCAATTTCTGCAGCAACTGAATAAATCGGTATTGCTGTCCTCTCTGCCCTTTTTGTAAAAGGAAATTGGATGAGATCTTCAGTCATTTGCTTTTATGGAACTGCCTTTAAAAATGTATTCTTCCAAATAGTCCTGGAAGAAGTATATGYTGCTTCTTACCTTTTTATTAATGTTACACTCAGCTGTGCCAGAGGCCCTTAAAAGGAAAGAGAGAGGAAAAGGTGATTAAAAGAGTTCTGTTACCTCCCAGGGTGGTCCATCTGATATTTAGTATAACCTTTATAATGCTGCATTTTTAATTKCATGAATTCTTAGCATGCTGTAGGATCAACACTATTTTTAATGCACAGAYTGATGTGAGCAGTGGGATGAATTTATATATTGGTTCAACACCTTAAACTAAAAAAAAAACCCTGACAGCAGCACAGGTTTCAGTAGTTTCCCTGCTGCTATGCTATTTTTTAAAAACTAGGCTATGTTGCCTGTATTTCTGTGTGGTTTAATTTCTATCATGAGTTAGGAGAAAGGAAAGTGCAATTTTCCTTCCTGCAGGAAGCCTCTGCCAATAAAAGGGTCTCTGTTAAGAGCTGTAAAGCACTTCAGAGACACCCAGATATTACTGAAATACCCTGTGTCAGTCCAAACCTGGACCTCTGTGTCAGAGCAGAAAGCACTTCCACTTCTCCCACATGAGCAGAAAGGAGTAGCTCTGTGAACTGGAGCACCTTGTCAGCTCTTTTGGGAATTAGGCTCTGGATGAGAGGGATGCACATGCCCTTAGGTCTGACAGCTTTGGGCCTGGCCAGCCAGGTTGCAGGTTCCTCTTCTTTTGTGGGCTGTGCTCTTTGCATATGTTCAAACAGCAAAAAGGCAATCAGGCTTTGTTCTGTAGGGCTCAAACTAATGGGTGTCACACTGTCAAGCCAAAAAAAATAAAGGAATTAAGACTGATCTTATATTTACACTGTTCTGTCAGGGGCTGTTTCTACTAAGTTGGTAATGAGGCAGAACCTGTCTCACAGAACTAAAAAAGGCCTGAAAAACCTTACAACTACCTGGGAGCAAGCATCACTCAYCCTGCATAGGTGAAACTGGATATCACCATGGAATAGTTTTCCTCTGTGAACTTACCACTGGGAACTTACTGGGAAAAAACCAACTCACAGTGACCCAGCTCAGCTCAGCATGTGCATGTATTAGCTGGGGTTCATGTGCTCTCTCTGTCTTCTTTTCACAGCCATGGGACAAGGTGTGCAGGAGAAGTGTCTGCTGCTGCCAACAACAACATCTGCGGCGTGGGAGTCGCGTACAATTCCAAAGTGGCAGGTATGGTGCAAATCCAAGGTGTAAATGGTCTGCTGTGCTTCAGGGAGAACTCCTCCTGCAGAGATGAAGTGCTGCCCAGGACAGGACTGCAGATTGGTACCGGGCCATTGTTTATTACTTTTCACAGTAGCTGGAGAGAGGAATTTCTCCATGGTTTTGCCTTTTCAAACAAGGGCCTTATATGGGCTCTTTAGTAATAGTGCAAAAGAGCAGCTCCACTCCTTCATATACGAGCTTCTGTTTGTAGATTGATTTTCAGTGCTTCCCTGTTTAGATGCAGAATCATTTGTGGCRAATCTCATTTTGCAGGAGGTAAAGTATAAGTCCCTGCTGCACTATGAAACTATTTGAAAGGGCAGATCTCATGCTGCTTTTACTCTTTAGGCCTACAGTACTGTAAATTACTGTGATTGTAGTTCTTTGTAGGTTGTAGGGCAGTGATGTGGAGTGGTAGGAACAGATGCAGAGAATGAAACAGGTAGTACCTAGCACCCAGCATCTGCAGCTTGGGCATGTTGGATATTTTCACTTCTAACGAGCTCTTTTCTGCACAGATATATKGAATACAGTACTTGGAGTGAGTTAGGCTCTTGGCACCATGTGCCAGTTTAGTTGAATCTGAAGAAATCTAGTTTTCCCACWCTTAAGACTGTTCCATGATGAGAACTGAGACTGTTCCATGAATTTCACTTTATTTTCTGTGATTCACACCAGAAYATCAGCGTGGATGCACCCATTGCTTCCCAGAGATGGTCCACAGTGTGTGTTCATGGACAGCTCTGCTCTGCCTGGCCAATCCCTGTTTCAGTGTAGTGTCAGGAGAATCACCAGAGAAAGGCACTGAACAATGTTTGCTATGCTGTTACCCAAGAAATATCACTGTGTGTTAGTAGGTGTCTGGGCAGGTCTAATGAATATCTCCTTTCTTCTGTAAGGGTAACATCTCCTTCAAGGGTGGGACATTCCACAAAATTTACATTCTTACGTGAGTTACCGTAAGAGTAATGTGAATTCAGGCACGGGATTTCGCCTGGACCATGTCGATATAATTCACGTAACTCTACAACTTAAAGCTGGTTGCTTAAAAATCAAGAGGAGTCAAGACTTTTTTCTGATGCCCAGCTCCCAAACGTGGCCCAGAGAGATTCCCTTGGAAGGGGAAGGGGCTTGGGGATCAATCCCACAGTTCCCCTGAGGCACCTGAGTAATGGTGAAGGGTCCTTTGGTGAGGCAGGATATTACTAATGTCTCAATGCAATGTCTGCTTTTACGAGCAAAGGCTCACCCATGGCAGTTGCAGGGTGAACTGGAAGTTGGTCGCCATGGCTCTGGGGCATCACTTGCTTTTTTCTTGTACCTCTTTTTTTCCTTGAAGATAGTTTGGCTCCTCCCGTTGTTCCCCCACTTTCTTCAGGGTCAATAATTAATTTTGTGGGGTTTCTTAGGGAATTTCTTCCCATTTGTTGTCCAGGAGATGATGAATGGACAGTGATTAACAGAGGGTTTGGGGAGGGGGGAGCAAACAATTCCTCACTGGGACTAAGCAGTCCTTACCTGGCTTGGAGGGGAGTTGGTTATGGTTTTAGATGCTTTAGGGGAAATGGCTTGATGGGTGGAAAAAGTCTGTTACTGGGTTTTTGTTGTTGTTCGTCTGTCTTGTTACATACAAATTTTCTAGTAAAGAACTGTTATTCCTTTTCCCATATTTTTGCCTGGGAGCCTCATAATTTTGAAGTTACACTAATTTGGAGGGAGGGGGTCATCTTTCTATTCCAGAAAGGGTTCCCACCTTCCTTGGCAGACACCTGTCTTTTGAACCAGGACAGTGATTTCCGTGCAGATTTACATTTTATAAGTATGGGAAACRATTTCTCACCCATTGAGTTTGACTTCATAATTAGAGTCAACACTGAGGTTTTATGAAATGGACATATCCTAAGATGGTATTACTTAAACTCTTAATTCCTACTGCCTTGTGGGTTAAAGGAAGCAGATTTTAGTTTGMTTTTTTTCCTCCAAATGCTGTCCATATTTTGCTATTGAATCCACATGTTGACACAATGATATTTTTCCAGGAAATTGCTATGTATTGTGCTTCTCTACTCCATTAAATACTGGAGAGCCACCAAAATAAATAGAAAAATTACTTGAAAAACTAATGATGTGTCAACACACAACTGAAAGTAAACTAGGTGAGGGGGAGGCTGACTCTTTTTTCCTAACTTATAAAATACCATTTTAAATGCCATTAATAGTGTTTAAAAACTATGAATAATTTCTGAGATTGCTGAATTCTGGTATTTTTAACATGTTCTCAAAGAGTAAATGGAAAACACTGTGTAATTAGAAAGCTAACAATAACRTTCTTTCTCTTTCTGGGCTATGCTGCCTTGGTGGCTGGGTGTTAAATACTGAATCCGACTGTGTAAGCACACCCTGGTGAAATGGGAATGTCAAGTGTGGAATTACTGACTGGATGAAACTGCCAGTTACTTAAAATACCTGCAACAGGGGGCCTTCTGCAGGTGCTGAGATTACATTTTGTGCGGGGTAATGCATATTTCATGTTTTTTTTGATTAAAACTACAGGTATTCGAATGCTTGACCAGCCGTTTATGACAGATATTATTGAAGCTTCGTCCATCAGTCATATGCCTCAAGTCATAGATATTTACAGTGCCAGCTGGGGACCAACTGATAATGGCAAGACTGTGGATGGTCCTAGAGAGTTAACACTGCAAGCAATGGCAGATGGTGTGAATAAGGTAACAATCTTATTAATAATTTGGGTTTTGGGGGAGAATGGCRTGTACGCGCTTGTGCTGAAACCAATGACTTAAGAACACAATGCAGTTGCACAAAATATTCAACTTTCAGCGTATTTCAAGGTTCTCTGATGTTCTCTCTGCACTATTTTGGTATTGCTTTTATTGTATAGTCTCACCATATTGTGTTTATCTCTAGCCAACATATGTTTTTAATATGCTGTTGTCATCAAAATGGAAGAGCCTGATCATGTAAATATTTCCCAGGCTGAAACATGCTAGTTGTGCTACCAACACCACATTGTCTGTTTTGGTGYATTACCAATTAATTAATTGTTTTGGATTTGGAGTGTCTCTCAGGTCACTGACTATGGTCACTATTGTAGCTATAATTGAATGGCAACAGATCARATGTCCATGGACTAATATCATCCAGGAGCCTCCTTATTTATTCCTGCATTCTAGAAGTAGTCTTTGATCTTTGTGAAAGACACAAAGTAAAAGTATCATCCTGTAACCTGTTTAACCTGTACACTATAAGAAGGTTGGGAGAAATGTACGTGCCACAACTCAAAAAGAGGATGAATCAGCCCAAACAAACCAATCTTGCATGGCTTTGTGTCCACTTCTTCAGTATCATGCAGCCAAGACAACCTCGGCTGCTCCTGGTGCTGTAGGGAATCAGCGTCCTCCCTTGGCTGATTATAGATGGGTTTCCATATTGAAAAGATCTGAAATTACCCAGAACATTTGAGATGGCTTTGTGTGGGAGCTCCAGAATTACTCACTTTTCCATCCAAATTATTTTTTCCTTTTTCTTGTGCCAAATTCTCCCACTCTTCATCACTGGCTTGCTGTAAGCAGCACATTCAGTTTACTGTGTTTTGTGACATGATAATTAAATCTACTGCTGTGATAAGTAGTGAAACATCTAAAGCTTTCTCAAATGTTTAGCCTGTAAGAGGGATTATAGTCATCTTCATGCTCCCACCCATAAAATTGGCAATGTACTGCAATAACACTGGAATACTTGTCACAGATTTCTTCTGAGCCTGCTCAGTTTTGTTGGATAAACTGTACAAACCTCTGATGAGTTCAGTGTCCCTCTGAAGTCCCCTTACACAGGCTTTGTTTATCCTTTTGACTTTCATTCATCTAGTGTTTCCATAAAGATCCTCTTAAACACTTAGATCTTGAAGACAATCTTTCCTAGGTGTGCAATAATTTTTGCTGCACCTTGACATGTTACAKTTGCTTGATCTCTCTTCCACTAATGTTGGTTGTAGCCGATATAAATTCTGAACAGAGAAAAATTTGCATGTATGCTAGTTTGAGAAACAAACCGTCAGAGTAATTACTCCTACACAAACATGTTGTRAGAGAATCTAAGTCAGAACTACAATTTAATAGGAAAAAAAATAAAATAAAGACAATAATACAGAGTAAGCAGCTTAAACTGACAGTCAGAATACAGAACCTTACACCCTCCTGTGCAGGGTGGTGGCTGCAGTCCCGTTGGAGTGATGGATGCAGTCTCATTGAAGTGGTGATCTGAGGACAGGTTGAGTCCAACTCTGGAGGTCCAGTAGTGATCCTCGAGCTCCTCTCCTCTGGGAATCCARTGSAAGAAGTGTCCCAGTGTTCCAGAGCCTTATCAGGAGACACAAAATTAACAGAAGAGCCTGCGTTAGTAACCCAGTTCTGTTGGCCATTGCAGCATTAGGAGGAATGATACTGGATTCTATGTAAGAAAAGTGTTGTTGTCCAAGGACAATTATACTTAATCTTATAGTGGCAGTATCCCAGCTGTCTCCTGGCAATACGTGCACAAAAGATGAGACAGTCCCAACCCAAATAACTCTCTTTGTGTTGTTGTCATATCTTTATCTACCTTTCTTTTGCTCATTACATTTCCTAATAGAATGATTTTTGGGGGGAAAAATCTGTTCTGATCTTGTTTTTTGGATCTGGTTTTTTTTTTTGGCAAGCCAGACTTTCTAGAGGTATTTCACGCTGTCAGTGGATGCTGGGTATTCTCCATGGTACTTTGGAAAACCCACTACAGAGTTGGCTGCATTGTAAAGGAAGTCTAACAAGCTTTTGGTATAATACCCTTTAACCTATTTTAGGTCTATATAATATATGCATCAAATTCTCTATTGATTGTAAAAATGAAAATCTAGTTTATGATTATTTTTCAGTTTAACTCTACTGTCTTATTAAAAAGTGTCTCTTGTAAACTGAGAGGCAAATAAACATAGGAATTCTGTTTATCTGCCTAGATCTGAATTTCACCAGAATGATGGTTTGCAAATTAATGATGAAGCTGAAATATTGGTGAAAATGAAGCAACATGCTGAGAATAAAAATGTGTTCTTAAACTAAAAGCAATACTTCCAGATGTCCTAGAAGGCAATATAAGATCTCTTGGGTGGAGCAAGATTAATATTGTTGCTTCTAATGCAGTAAAATAAAAATCAGTAAGTTGGTGTAATACAGAATTCTTACAGGGAATATGCATTTAATTGAGTTGACAAACTCAATCACAAACACAGGTGATGTTTACCTTGCTGCTACCATTTTTGGTGGCACCATATTTGGGTAAGCTGAGCTTACCCATTTGGAAGCCCGGCTCAAGGAGGAACTCACTGCCAAGTGTTTCATCCTTCCCACAATCTCCATTCCACTGTCACATCCTTTAGAATTCCTCCTTCTAGAGCTGCCTACATGTGGGGATAACTAGTTACCTGATAATGACAATATGATAAAAACTACAGAAACTGTGAAACTTCACGTTTACGTGTCTATTTTTATGTCTTGAAACCATCTAGCTATTAGTGCCAGGTGGTCTAAGGCTGAAATCTTCTATTTCTGATATCTATTCTTCTAACTGAAGACATCCATGCTCACTGCAGAGGGGAGTTGGACTRAATGGCCTTTGAAAGGTCCCTTACAACCCAGAGTATTCCCTTCTTCTATTTTCTTACCTTTCATCTTCCATTATCCATGCTTGTCATGTGTTAAACTGATTCTTCCCTTCTGTCTTAATCATACCTTCATTTTGGTGTGTTGTTCGCTTGGCAAATAGATAACATGAACAGAAATAGCACTGAAATAGCATAGCTAAGGACAACACAATCTACCATCACACTGGCAGYTCCTTYATGRGCTCTTTTACTAACACAGTTTCTAAGGCTGGAYTCAAAAAGGGTGGTGTGTGCRTGAACTGGGGTGTCAGCATCACCCMTATCAGCWTAACCAATCAGAAGTTATTGRGAAAGGGACTCAAGCTGCTTTTTGTTACTAAGACACAATCCCASTCATTTTTTACATGTGACCTGCCTWCACTGTGTTATCTCATGGCTTTAGTTCATGGTCAGTTGTCCCCAGCCATGACTGGCTCACTGAGTAGTGGTAGTTGCACTGCWAAGATAAATGAGCTCACAGTTGAATGAGCAGGAAATTGGGAATAGGGATTGAAAAGAGTTTCATACACAAAAATAGCCACAAGTATTTGGCAATTACCAGCCCTGGCCTGACACAGATGAGCACTCTTACCCAATGCAACTTTCGGCTGCTAGAAAAGACATATTTGGGATATAATAGGAAAGAACCTAATAAAACTTAAATTAAAAGAACTACTCATTTAGTGTAGTGTCCAGTAAACACTTCTTATTTGCCAATTTGTTGAGTCCAGTTCTTTCCAGCTTCAGTTATTGGAATTTRAGGCAATAAAAAGAAGCAATCAACTAAACTGGTCTATCTATTGCATTTTTATGATGTAGGCTTTTATATTAGGAGGTTGTGAGAGGTTGCTTGTGGACTGAATTAATTTTTTGAGACTTCATTGGCTCAAGCCAGAACATAGAAGACATGATCCATTTGTGCTTGTGCTGGTGAAAACATTATTGCTTCTGTAATGTAGTTCTACCTAAGAAAATGCTGCCAAAGTACAAATTGCCAGGGGAACAGTATTAGGAATTTATAGTCACATCATGGCTTTGTAATCGGGCTCACCAATGAAGAGAGAAAGGACRATGTAAAAAACCAAAAGGAAATATTTCTCATTTGCCTCTCTCCCAGTGCACAGAAAATGTGTTATTGTTCTTCGAAAATAGCATGTTAATGAAGGATGTACAGGTAAATATCTCTAGCATAATTTTATTTGTTCAACAGCTAACTGAGGACTGGGGAATTTATGATATGGCAACCATCTATTACTCCACTTTTGAGGAAGCCCAACAAGCTTCTTTATAACTTGGGAGCCCTTTACTGTTGTATTGCCATTGTGTCTGAAATATGCATTATAATTCCATGCCTTGTCTTATTCGTGTAAGATAAAATCAAACTTTATTAAAATCTCACACATGTGAAGCTATGACACCAGAGTTCCTCATACCACTTGGGAAGGCTGCGAAAAGAGACCAACATCGTCACTGATAAAGAGTGAARTGGGTTTTTAGAATCTTTCTCAGTGATAATCTAGCTCAGAGGTAATGAGAAGAGGATGAGGTTGATTTTTTTGCAAATATTATTGATACCTGAATTAAGCCYATAGAATTGTTATATTTTCACTTGYGATACATGGCCCAGCATCCAACAGAAAAGGCATGGCTGCTTAAAAGGTTTTGCCTCAACATTTTCAAAGTTACACATCATATCCCTGCTAGACTGAACCCTAATKGAAACCTAATGCTGCCTCTCATTACGCAGCCTAATGCTGTGTAATTTTACATTCATTTCTCTTGACTAAGAGAAGTCCTTCCAATTTCAACAGCAATTTAGGTATAGAAAATGGCTCAAGCATTATTTTTAACCAAAGAAGGGATTAGCAATTATGCAATTAATTGTGGGTTGCAGTACACTTCTGTGGCCATTCTAAAATAAGTTACAGAAAGCCTTTTATTGGGTTTGCAAATTATAGGGCTTAAGTTTTTTGAGAATCTTGTATGCAGCAGTCTTTTTGGAGTTGGATGGTTACTACTTGACCCAAATAATTT